CACCCGGGGGGGGGTTTGCCCCGGATTTCCCCAGCTGGCTCCGCCGCTGCCATCCTCCGTGGGCGGCGCCGGCCTGATGCAGGCAGCTGCCCGGCCAGGAGCCAGGGAGCGGGGGCAGTGTCCTCCTTCCTTCTCTCCTCGCTCCTGGGCAAAGCACCTTTTCTGGTTTCTTTGTCCTGACTTAAATAGGGCAATCCTCAAGAGGCGCTGATTGGCTCAACCCCAATGGGGATGGGAGTCCGATCTGGTGGCCAGAACCAAGTCTAGCCCGGTTCCAAAACCAGGGAGGTCACAGGGAGCAAAGCCCCTCTCCTGCCACCAGAACCCGCACCCCCCCCCCCATCAAACCATGACAATAACGCACCAGTGTTTTAGCTATTACTCAGGAGTGCTTGCGCTGTGCCATGGTATTTTCTGTTTCTCACTCTTCTCCTCCAATGAGTAGTTTGAGGATGCCCAGCAACCTGGGAGGGGGCACAGCCTGGACAGCTGACCCCAGCTGACCAAAGGGATATTCCATGTCATATAATGTTATCTTCAACAATAAAGACAGAGCAGGGGGAAATTTTGGGTAGGAAGCCATGGCTCAGAGACTGGATGGGCATCGGTTTCCTTGTGGGTGGTAGTGAATGCTTGCCTTTGTATCACTTCGTTTTTCTCTTTTATTCTGCTTTCCTTTGCTTCTTAAACTATCTTAGTCTTAACTCACAACTGTTCTTGCTTTTACTCTTCCTACACCCTCCTTTGTCTCACTGGGGAGGGGCGTGGTGCTTAGCTGCCAACTGGGGTCAAACCACCACAGAAATGTAGCTCCAAGCTTATTTAGGGAAGTCCTTTTAAAAAACAAAAACCAACTAAACAAAAAAATCCTGCTCTGATGTTGACAAGTGTTATGTGTGTATGTGTGTATGTACGCATGTCTATCTGTATGTATGTATCTATCTATCTATCTCTGTGTATCTCTGTGTTTTTAACGTGCATTTCAGATTTTTGTGAGAATACAGATTTTGCTCAAGAATGTTTACAATGAATTGTTCTATTTTTTATTCTTTTTTTAACAATAATGAATATGTATTTCGGACTAGTTTTCAGGACTTTATCATCTAGCGAGGGTGATATAAAGGAGTATTACAGTACTTGACTGTTTTCAGAATGATTTCTATAGATGAAATTGGTGTTCACATATAATAAATATTTTTCATAATGTGTGAGACTCCTACTTCATTGTGACCCAAACATGTTTGTTAAAGTAAGTTAAAGTGGCTCTATATTTATTTTTAATTATTAGATCCCTCTCTTTTTGTTAAAAAAATAAGCCTGAAAATCACCTTCTGCTTGACCCAAAACTGCTTTGGCTGTCTGAACTATGTAATCTACCTGCAGCTAGCAGCAGGTTTGCTGTCATCTTTGTTTGTGTAGTTCCCATGTATTTTAAGTTTACCAAATAAAGTTTAAAAAAACAACACAGCAAGAGCTTATCAGTTCTAAATGCTGCAGTACGTTATTAAATAATGCTGCTTCTCTCACTGCACTATTCTTGAAAGGGGCTTTATAACTATGAAAATGACCACAATCAATACACATAGCACTGTACTAGGCTGCTACTCAGCAGCACTACACAGAGCAAACAGCAGGACTATTTTAGAGATTCTTCTTTTGTATGTCTGCAGTTCTATGTATAGACACAAAAAACAAACACTTGGTGGGCTTCTGTGTGCTGGAAAGCCTTTATGCAGAAATCTTTAGGTTATGATTACTGTTTAGTGCTGACTAAGGCAGGTCTAATGGTATTCCTGTTTTTTAATACGGTGTTTGAGGAATCCATCGTCTATTTTGCTATGTTTTTGTTTTAATTTAACTGTTTAGAGAAAAATACTATATCATTACAGCAGCTCTGTGTTTTATATTCAGGAAAAGTTTGAATTTATGTGGGAGCATTTTCATTGAAAAATGAGTGGGTCAGCAACAGAGTAAATATGCGGATTGTCTATGTTATGAAGACTTACTTGTGATTTTTTTTTTTCTCTTGCGATTTTTTTTTTTTAAGCCGGGTTATGATGACATCAACCCAGACTGGAGACTCTCTAGTGAAAAAAGAAAGAAAATAAAAGGTATGTGATGTGGTTAGATCATTATTTTATACCACTGTGTAGTTAAAATTATTTATACAAAATATACAGAGATCTGAAATGGCTTAATTGAATCTCAATTAGAATAGTTGCCAAAATTCTATGTATGATTTGAACTTGTAGCATGGCATAGCTAAATTAGTGTCACAGTAGGTTTTTTTTAAATCCTCTCTTAGGAATACTTTTGTAGCCATAACCATAAATAAGAGGATCTTTCAGTTAGTACAGGACTTCATTTATTATTAATCATGTAATTATGGCACTGTAGAATGCTGAACATTCAGGAGACATCTCAGCTTGTATCAGAAGCTATTACATCATAATATTGTAGGTAACGCATTATTTGAGTCCACAGTCTAAAAACTAAACTTTTCCATTTCTTTCTATGAATGTCTAATAAATCTTGAAAGCGAATGTAATTTGAAGAGATTAGTTTAAAATTCTAAGACAAAATGGCTTTGTTTATTCTGACTGGATTTGCCTCGTGTCAGTCTCTCTATCCTTTTCCCAAAATTCGGGCACTGTGTGCAGCTGTTTATCACCTGGTTATTGCCTGGCTCTTCCAAGAGTGCAGAGATCAATAGCTGTTCCATGATCCATTCACTACTGCTTGTATATATCTATATTATTAAAAGATCCCTGTTTCTTTATAGTGTTTTTCTTGGTGATTCTGACTCGGTTAATTCATCTGACCTTCATGGGTAGGCTGCTGAGTACTGAAGTGGCAGAAGAGTGATAAGCTGTGTGTTTCTCAGTACTGTTTGTGGAATGATTGTTTTCATCAGAGAGGTGGGAAATGACACTGTAGTGAACAACTCTAGCGCTAACTCTCTGAACATTTTGTCCCAACATCCAGTTACCATAATCACGGCAGTTTTAGAAATGACACAGCTTCCATCCTCAGTTGTGGTGACTTTTTATTGTTTGGTTTGTTTTGTTTAATGTCCTTAACAACCTCATCTTTTAGGCTGTTTCAGGAGCCTTGTTCATAGATGTCACTTGTCCTCAAAAGCAGTGTAACCTTTTCTGATTTTCATCAGTATGACGTTTGTTGCCAGGGACACTTGGTCAAGGATAGCCTGGGAAGTACTGAAGCAGATCTTTATAAAATATCTAAAATTTGTCATATTTTGTGCAAGTAAATCAGTTTACTGTGAATTCTTTTTCCAAATAATATTAAAAAATAACTACATCCACAATTAATCATGGAATCATAGAATGGTTTGGGTTGGAAGGGACGTCAAAGATCGTCTATTTCCAACCCCCCTGCCATGGGCAGGGACACCCTCCACTACACCAGGTTGCCCAAAGGGATGGGCCACCCACAACGTCTCTGGGCAACCTGTTCCAGTGCCTCACCACCCTCTGAGTGAAAAATTTCTTCCTTATACCTAATCTAAATCTGCCCTCTTTCAGTTTAAAGCCATTGCCCCTTGTCCTATCACTACATGCCCTTGCAAAAAGTCCCTCTTTAGCTTTCCTGTAGGCCCCCTTTAGGTACTGGAAGGCTGCTATAAGATCACCATGGAGCCTTCTCTTCTTCAGGCTGAACATCCCCAACTCTCTCAGCCTGCCTTCATAGCAGAGGTGCTCCAGCCCTCAGATCATCTTCATGGCCCTCCTCTGGACTCGTTCCAGTAGCTCCATGTCTTTCTTATGTTGGGGACTCCAGAGCTGAATGCAGTATTCCAGGTGGGGTCTCACGAGAGCAGAGTAGAGGGGCAGAATCACCTCCCTCGACCTGCTGGCCACGCTCCTTTTGATACAGCCCAGGATACGGTTGGCTTTCTGGGCTGCCAGCGCACATTGCCGGCTCATGTTGAGCTTCTCATCCAGCAGCACTCCCAAGTCCTTTTCCTCAGAGCTGCTCTCAATCCATTCTCCGCCCAGCCTGTAGTTGTGCTTGGGATTGCCTCGACCCACGTGCAGGACCTTGCACTTGGCCTTGTTGAACTTCATGAGGTTCTCACAGGCCCACCTCTCCAGCCTGTCAAGGTCCCTCTGGATGGCATCCCTTCCCTCCAGTGTGTCCACAACACCACACAGCTTGGTGTCATCTGCAGACTTTCTGAGGGTGCACTCGATCCCACTGTCCATGTCACCAACAAAGATGTTGACCAGCACTGGTCCCAGTACTGACCCCTGAGGAACACCACTCGTCACTGGCCTCCACTTGGACATTGAACCACCATTGACCACAACTCTGAGTGTGACCATCCAGCCAGTTCCTATTAAGGGGTAGTTCTTTTCTCCTCAACAGCTTTGTTTAATGGAGAACTGATTTAGTAAAATATAATTGATCTAAAATACAAACTAAGTGAACCAAGGAAGCATATGCAATAATAAATGTTTGTTAAATTAGGCTATCAGATGAAATCTCTTAGTAATTGAAGTCTCTTCTGTTCTTACTTGGTTTTTAAAGTTATCTTTCTTTGTATGGTGCATTCTTAATTATTTGTGTATTTATTTTAGATAAAGAAGCCTATTACCCATTGATAGACGTAAATTGGTGGGCAGATAATTCTGTCATCCTGGCTCGCTGCTCTGGTGCATTGACTGTGTCATCAGCGAAGACGCTAAGAAACTTGCTTGGAAAGTCATGTGAATGGTTTGAGAGTTCTCCTCAGGTCACTTCAGCTCACGATGGAGGATTTCTAAGTCTGGAGGTGAGGAATGTGTACAAGCAGATATCGTTTTGGAATTCGGTAGAAGCGGTTTGCTTTTGTATAGTTAATCTTAGGGGTATTATGTGTGTGGTGTGGTGAAAAAAAAAAATTGCTGATAGAAAAAGTGATTCTGTTTCCAAGCTCAGCAAAATTCTGAACTTGCTTCAACTTAACTGTCTTAATAAAATCTTGACTGCCAAATAACTTCTGGAGAGTAGAAGCAAAACTCCTAGAAGGCTGAGTCTGAACGCGAGGAATCTTGCTGCAGGAAGCAATTTGTATCGACAGTTTTCACTGCTTTGTATGTTTAGTGCATTTGAAGAATACTGTAAGCATCTCTCTCCCATTTTGAAACAGATGCCTCTTACAGAGGGAGTATATTTAAAAGAAATGAGGAACACGTTTAAATTAAGACAAAGCCATGTAAGAGATGTTTTTTGTTCATCTTTAGTAGGATTCCAGGAAGGAGTAGAACATAATGAAGTTAACTAGAAATTTTCTTTGTGACTAAGAAGATTACTCTTTCCTGAGGGTTACGCTGAAATAGGTCTTAAACATCTTAAACAGAAGTTTAAAATAATATTTATCAGAATATCTCAATACATATCAAAGCTGGCATATATGTTTTTGGAAAGATTCATTATTCTGGAAATAAGATACCACCTGTGACAAGCGTATTACAGGCTAAGGCTGTAATCTGAGATTACATTTGCCTTGAACTGAAAACCTTGCTTCGAATAGCGAAGAGTTGAAAACAGTGCTGTACACTGCAGTAAGCTGTAGAACAGTGTACAAAGATGTCTCCATAGTTCTGTCCTGTCTGGGATGGTGTAGGACATTACCTGTAATAGCGGGTTACTATTAAGAAACCTTCACTCTTGCTTCAGTAGGTAAGGGATGAAGCCTCAGATCTAGGAGACAGACCCAGTCATGCTTTGTGGAGCTTGTTAAGCAAGCTGAGAAAAAAAGGGGTTTAAAGGGGAAGGGGAGGAAGGATGTTGGTTCTGAAATTTGAAGTACTGGAAATGGAGACGTACTCAATTCTCACCAAACTAGTCAAAGTGTACTAGGTGGATGCTTCATATTTTCTGTGCAGTGTGAGATAAAACTCGTTCCAAAAAGATTACGCTTGGAGAGCAGGCCTGGTGATGAAGATGAGGGAGAAGATGACTCTGACTCAGATGATGAAACTTCTGCTAAGGACAGATACTTCAGCTACCTAAAGCAAGGCCTGTACTTTGTGACCGAAATGGAACGATTTGCACCTCCACGGAAACGTCCACGTACTATTACAAAGAATTTCCGCCTTGTCAGTTTGAGATCCACAACTCCAGAGGAGCTGTACCAGAGAAAAGTAAGTATAGAAGGAAAGGTCGTACCTCTCATAATCAGCTTTATTTAGAAAGAACTTTTGCTTTTAATTCTTGCTATGTTAACAGAAGGATTTGGGCACGTGTTTCTAAAGATCTTTTAGTTGACAGTGTACTGTGTTACCTAATCAAAGAGATCAATGTTTAAAACTGGCATTACAGTAATTTGAATGAGATGATGTTTGCAGGTCACTGAAGAGACACTGTGCGTCATTAGCTTGGCCACACTTGGAAGTGTACTCATGTGAGTGTGTACAAGAAATGGCAACTGTATTGAATGGAATCAGTTGAGCTTGTTATTGGCCAGGGAATGGGTTAACTTACACTCTGATGTAAATGTAGTTGCATGGGTTTTTTTCAGGCATACATACAAATTAGGCCTTATGACTCACTCTTAGTAAACAGATACTTCTTCGTTTTTAAGACTGATATAGGCAGTACTTTGTCTAGGCCATTTCAATTGTTCTGATGGTAAACTAGCCCACTTTGTAACTGTTAGAGATGCCAGGGAGTTCTGATGTCATACTGGTTACCTAAATAACTTCTTCCTTTTTCTTGAGGAAAAATCTCTGATTTTCTAGAGGTGTCCATCAGATCTGGGTCTTACCTGTCTATCTTGAGCCATTCTCTTTCCTACCTACTTAGGTATACCACAGTAATTATCCTTCTACCTGTTTCAACACAGAATTAATAACTGATTGTTTAATATGGAAATCAGATGACTTCGATTTTCATGTCTTTGCTTTTTAGATTGATAATGAAGAATATGGGGAAGCTTTGTCTTTGGCTCAAGCATATGGCCTTGATTCTGATCTTGTGTATCAAAGACAGTGGAGGAAGTCAGCTGTTAACGTCGCTTCAATTCAAGACTACTTGGTGGGTTTGTTTTTTTTGACTTTTGGGCTTTCTTATCAGAATGACTGCTTCATCTTTACAGAAGTTGAATTCTCAGTTGTGTTCTAATTTATGCAATGTAAATTGGTAGCAATTTGGAGACCTGTCCTGCAAATTCCATTTCATGTCATGTGCAAGTCATCCTGTTAATTTAACTGAAGGCCTGATCTAGAGACCTTGGAATTTAATGGCAATCTTTCCTTTCAAGTATCTTCTAATTTCTGTTAAAGCAGTATACTTTCTGTAGTGTAATCTCTCCCTCAGATGCAGCAGTACATTGTTGCCTGGCAAATGAATAATAATAACTGGAAATATAAAGCATTTAACTAACTTCCAAGTATTTTAGAAAATTAAAATGGGAAGGTGAAGTTGCTATCAGTAGCTATATAGCAAAGTTTGCGTAACAAAGTTTACAGTGAACTTTGCTACTTGTAACTGGAGATTTTCAGTAGAATATGACGTGGTTTTTTTTGGCTCGGAAGACAGATTTCAAATGCAGCAGACTAGGTTATGCATCTTCGACAATGCTTATTATGCTATAGTGTAAAGTCTTCCAAGAGATCAAGAGAAATATAATGTAATTTTTGTTTTTCCATGTCAAGTATTAATTGAATTTCAAAATAAGATTTTTACAAGTAGCCATTCTTCGTATGCTATGTAATCTCAACTGAAGATCAGCAGATAAGGCCAATAATACTTTGTGACCCTGATATGTCGTTTCTGTCACAGAATCCTAGTGGCATGTGAAGAGATTGATACTGAAAATGACTATAGTGCTATTGTGGAGTACGCTCAGTTTATAACAACGGTGGGTTTAGCCCAAAATCATCACATTTTATTTAGTGTAAAGAGGAGTGATACTAATTAGGGAATACAAATAATAACTTCTGTTCCAGTCGTTGTGAAATATCTGCCAAATCATTTGACATTTCTGTCCCCTTTTCTGCCACATATCCTCTGAGGGAATTACGGTTTTTGCATTTTCACCTCTTTTGTTGGTTCACATTGTCAGTCATCAGATTAACTTGACATTTTCTTAAGTGGAAGAAACACATTAGAAGATTTTAACATCTCTGGTTTCATTGCTTTGTATTGAAGCATATAACATTGTGTCTATGCTCTTGTTCTTGGACAGAGCAAAATTAAGAAGCGTGCATGGGTTCTTCATGAGTGCTTGGAAAGAGTTCCAGAGAATGTGGATGCTGCTAAGAAGCTGCTGCAATATGGCTTGAAAGGCACAGACTTGGAGGCTCTTGTGGCCATAGGAAAAGGAGAAGATGGCGGCAGGTTTGGGAAGAGTATATTGGTTTTTGTTTTTTTTTTTATTTTTAAAGAATGGTTTATGAAGTCTTTTCTAATAATTTGGTGAAATTTTTTAATGAACCATTAATGAAAATGTTAAGATGCTTTATGGGTCATAAAAAGAGGTAATATTTTGAATCAAACTATTCTAAAGATGTCCACAAGGTACCTATTCTCATTTTACCTTTTACAAGGTAAAATTTCTGTTTATTTTGTACTGCGTTTTCCACTTCTCTGGATGCCTTTTATTTTCTTCATCATAGAGGACTTCTGATGTCATGATTTTTCTATGAGAATATTTCTGTTTCCTATTCTGGAAGCCACAACTAATGCGTTTTGTTGTATGTCTTAATTTTTGTAATCATCATCTGGTGTTCAGGTGGGGAAGGGAATAAAGCAAAACACAGTAGGTCAGTGGGGAAATATATGCAGAGAAAATTCTCTTTGGTACTCAGTTCCTGGTGGTAGAAATAGAAGAGACTGTTCTTTCTTCGTGCAGTCATCTGTTACCATTGTATGCTGTAGAGCTGCTCCCAATCCCATTGCTATCTGTGGAATTTAGAAACCTTTATCAACCATCACAGCTGTGTGGTTGGTTGGTTGTTTTTTTTTTCTTGTTTGTTTTTTTTTAAGGGAGGGAATAGAAACACATGTTGCCTCTTGGCTTGTGACGAGTTCCTGCTGCTTTACAACAGCAAAACTCAGTATTATAATTTTCTATATAAGTTTAGATTTTTAGTCAAAACATAAATGGAAAGCTATGTTAATAGGTTTATTAAAAATTAGTTAATTACATCTTTTTGTTTGTTTATATCAACATTGATTATGTTGTTGGTTTTGTCTTCTAGATTTATCTTACCGGGTGAGGTGGACATTGAAATTCCCTATGAAGACTTTTTGTCACCAGATGAGGAAATGGATACTAGAAAGGAAAAAGAGGCCAGGAAGCATCAAGAACTGCTATTATCAGTAAACTTCTCAAAGTAAATGGAATGTTAGGCTATGTTTTGTTCAGATTTATAGGTTTATTTTAACTACACAGTTGCAAGAACTGTAATTACCTCTTAGGTACGTTATTCCTAGTAGGAAAGTGGTTTAAATTTTAATTGGCATTATTTTTTTGTCAAAGTTCTCATTTTACTGAATTTCTTGATATATTCCAGTGCACAAAGTCATTGTCTTCATATGCACATGACGAACAATATCAATTGTAAACATGAAAATTCCTGTTTTGAACACAGGCTGTCACTGGAACAAAAAGAACTCTGCCGTAGCCGGCTGAAGCTGTTAACTTACCTTGATCGCCTTGAAACCTACAAGGTGAGGAAACTTGTTAACTGGCCACAGTTCTTTTGAGTTCTCATTCCATGGGTATTCCTGTAACTTTTGTGTCACAACATCATCTTTTTTTGTTGTAGTATTAATGTTCATAGTCTTCTTGAAATACTGTGGTCTCTCACTTGAGAAATGTAAGCTGTTTTCTGTTCAAGCCACTGTGTTTCTCCTGCTTCACTGTTGCAAATAGCTGGCTTCTAGTGTTGGGAGGTACAGCTGGGCAGAAGCTGGCTTTGAACATCTTGTGCCTGCAGGGAACTAAGTTATGCAAGAACATAGGAGGTGGAGTTGGTGTTAGAATTACTGTTATTTCCCTCTGTCAGTCTAACTAGCAGTTCTATTCAGATTCTGTAATGAATATTTTTCTTCCATGAGCTTATCCAAGTGAAAGTTTTTGGAGTGTCAAACTGTATTTTGCTTAGTTTCCTTTAACTTTTAACTTTGCAGTTGGCACTATTTACGTTAGGACTTTTGCAACATCTCTGTAACTAATGTTGTCTAAACCCTAATTAAGGCAGAGAATTGTCTTAGCTTATCAATCAAAAATGCATCTTTTTTTCATACTGAAACCAATAAAAAACAGCAGCATGCTTTTCCACATATATCTCATACTTAGCCATCCTAATGTAAAGAACCATGTAGGCTTTTTGATGCTTTTGTAAATCTTGCTTACAAAACAATCTTTTATAAGATTTTTTTTTTTAATTTGATTTTTTTTATTTTTAAAGGAAATCCTTGGAGGGCCTCATGCAGCTGAACAGCACTATGATGGTGAATTCTTCAAGAAGTTCAGAAATCAGAATATTGTACTTTCAGCAAGAACTTATGCTCGGGTATTAATATTTATTTTACTAGAATGTAATTTTGTTTTGGTATTGCTGCTTTCACTTAAGTACGTTTTTTTTCCCCCCTTTGAACTTGGTTAAATCTCAATGGGAATTTAAGAGATGGAGGGTATGTTTATTTGATTGTGAATAAATAAATGCAGTGACCCTTAGCTAATTTTCTTTATTGCTAAACAAAAAATTCTAAAATGAATACTTGTTGCATGACCTAAACTCACATTTTGTGCTTATTTTCAGTCTAAATCATTCTTAAGCTAGTTCTGCAACTTACTGTTTTGCTCTTCAGGAAAGCAATGTCGGAGCCCTGGAAATTTTGTTTACTTTCCATGGATCAGCTTTACTGCCACACAGACAGGCAATTCTCTCCAATTTTCCAGAGACTACTTCCCCACATGAATATGCTTTATTGTTGCCTGAAGCTCGGTAAGAATGTATCAACGGACATTAACTGAAAAAAAAAAAAGATTTTTTAGGTTAATACTTGGTTACCATATACAGCAATCTGCTGTTGATTGTTACCTGGAATCAAGAGAGCAGCTTTGTCTTTATGTGCTTGGCTAGTCTTCATTTTCTATTTTACCTTGTGCCATTCATCGAAGCTTTTTGGTCTCTTCTGTTTATTATCAGGGAAGTAGGGACTTTCAATGTTCTTGCCTCCCTTACACATGAGAGAGGCAGGGCCTTTTCTGACCCGAAACTGCCCAGATTTTCACAGGTGTGAATACAAGTCTCTAATTGGTTTGCAATAACAACCAGCGTTAGGAAATTATTAATACAAGTGTTTAGCTCCCTAGCAGACATTACTTTTTTCTGGATTTATTTTGAAATTGAATACCTAAGCAGTCAGTAGCTTAAAAATCATTTATCTTTTTGTTACTGATTCTTACATAGCTTGCTAAGGTAGAAATACAGACTTTCCTACTCTCTCATTTCAGCTTAAAATGTTAGCTTACTGTCAATTTCAGTAAGCTAACATTTCAATAAATTTTCAGAAGAGAGTCTTCCTTGAACATCCTAATAATGTTCTGTGTCTTAATTAAAATAATTTTTTGCTTCTAGAATGTTTCTTCCAAACACTTTGATTATGAAGTTAGTTTTGAAGCATATTGTTCAGTTCCCATAAAGAATTGGAGAGATTCCATTTTTTAATATTTTACAATAGGACTTTGAAGCCTTACTTCAGAGGTATAGTTTTTGGAGTAGGTAGTTGTGGTTTTTTTGGTAGTCTTCTAGCATTATAGTTCAGTTTTTTTTTCACTTCAAAGTTTTCAATGGTCCCATTTGGATAATTGTCTGTGTAGAAGATATTTTTTTTTTATTTGTCAGATTGTTCCCCTTACATTTTTCCTGGTTTATAATACTTACCAGTTTGTCCTTCCTGAGCAGAAGTTAGTCTTTATGTCATGATAGCTAATACTTAGCCAGTACCCTTTCTATTGTGTTGGCAATATTAAAAACATTTAGTTATTTGGTTATAGCATGAAAACATTTCTTTTATCCTGTTATTAGGTAACAGGGCCATGAAGAGAAATTATTACAGTATTTATAAAATTGGTAAAATATATTGCAATTTTTCTCTTTTGTTTTGATAAGATTTATATTGTGAAAGAGAGAGAAGAAGGGTCTTCTTAAATGTGGTTATGATACTTTGTTGGTGTTCATAACAGGTTCCCTTTCTTTCTGAAGGGTTGTATTGTTGGTTTTGGATTTTTATTTTGATGTTGTGGTTGGTCAGTTGGTTGAAGTAACTAAAACTTATGTGCCAGGAGACAAAATGTCAGTTAAAATAAAACATTTCACCAATGATCTAGTAGTAAAGATGTGAAGTTATGGGTTAAGAACTTAGTTTTATCTGCTGTTGAAAAATGGAAGTATGTAGTTTGAATCTTTATTCCTGTGGCAGACAGAACTTTCCAGTGCTAGGATGAGGTGTGTGCAGGTTGTGCAGGTTCATAATTTTTTTTTTTTCCCCCAGGTTGCAGAATAGATAATACATGTCTTTGAAATGTTTGTCTTTGGACAACTACAAAATGGGGATGAGAGCAAATCCTATACATGCAAATCACATATACTTGTAAAAATATATTGTGTATTAGTTGATTTAACCTTTTTCTAAAACTGATTACTTATATAGTATTGCTAAATACACTCTAAATACACTCTAAACTGTATTTTATTAATCTCATAGAATTAAATATGAATTGATGAAAATATCGATTAAGAAGAGTAATATACTAATGAAATAAACTTGAGTTGTACAGAGTAACATTTTCTAATTAATTTAATTTAGAAAGTTTTTTTTTTTTTTTTTAAATGGGATGAGTCTCTTCCCCCAGTCTGAATAGCGTCAACTTCTGGCAATTCTTGTTTCTGTAAATCAAATATATCCATGTGAATCAAAGAGAATCGAAGTTCTTGTTCATTTTAAGTGAGTTTATTTGGCCTTTTAGTTCTAGTATTTATTTTTCAAATGAGTTGTTAGTATGAATAGAATTACTGGCATTCTGTAGATATTTAGTTGTTGTTACGAAATCCAGTCTAAATGAATGTGCTGTCTAGTTCATGTCTGCATACTCTGTTGTATAGAGAAGTAATTTGGCTTAAATTGACTGATTGAACAAGGTTGTGATACAACTTAAGAAACTGTATCATTCCCACATAATACTAAAAAGTTGCAGGTGCTGACTGTAGTTAATAAACTTCTGAACAGAAGAAAAGCATTGCAAAAATATAAACTCCAATGTTTTAATTGGTAAAAAAAATGTCTGTAGCCTTACGACTTAAGTGATCTTCAGCTTATGCAGCTTGTAATTACAGTGGTCTTGGGATAAGGGATGGGAATGATTCGGTGATTCCTCATGAACTTTGACTTTAGACAAATCTTATAAAGGATTCTGAGTCAGGAAACAAGTTAGTCTGGTTTTGCTTTTTAAATTTCACAGTGTTGCAGTTATGAAATAGGGTATTAGAAGGATTTTTTTTACTTTCAGCTGCAAAAAAGACAGATCTCTTTTGTGATTTCTTTTAGCTCATGTTTTATAGAAAATTCAAGTCTGTAATTGTCTGTACCAAGAGATTCCAATAGCGTAATTGTTTGCTCTGGTGCATGTGATGAGACCACCAACATGGACCAACTGTATGACAGAGCCCATGTTAAGAGTTCAGCCTGCCCCGGTGACCTTGCTTGGAGAACATCTTGTTCATGCCTTGTTGATGGCTTTGCTGCCTGGACTCCTGCAGCTCAGACCTCTTACTGAGCAGCATGCTGCAGGGAGGAGAAAAGATTTTGGAGGAAGGAAAAAAAAACCTGTAGTTTGTGTTTTAGGTGTTCATATATGACCCTGCGTGTGTATAGGATAAAGTACTGCTGGGAGTTGTCTATATTGCACCTGTGTTTATGGAGTGCTTTCAACGATAACAGGGCTGGTTCCCAGCTGGAGCTCTCTGAGGTGACGCCTATCCTTACAGAAATTCACCACATTGCTCTGTGTTCCCTTAGTTCCTGCATCTATAGGGGAATCTGGCTGAGGAAAAACTTGATTGTATAGGAGGTGCTGCCTTGTTTGTGCATGGAGGGGGTGATGTGGGACAAATAGGCACCTCTAGCTATTGCCAAAGCAAAACTGTTGAAACACAATGGCTTGCCATACACCACCACCAACATGAATGCGCACAGAAGTGCTGTAGCTGAAGAATTTCGATACCTGTTAAAAATGTTTTTGTAAAGTTTGCATTGTAACTGCCATTTCGTTTCATCTGGAGCCTCCAGTTCAACTGCAGATAGTAAATTCTAAGTACCTGGTGAAAGTAGTGAATTCTACAGGCATAAAGCAGTTGTTTTTCTTGTTACTGGCACATGTAATTTACATTAGGATGGCATTTAGGGGCTGATGTCTCAAAAGTTTTAAGGTCTTATCAGTCAAGGAAGAGTTGCCATAGTAAATGGGGGGGGAAAAAAAGGTAGAAGGATTTTTTTTTTTCCTGTCTTCTGGGACAAATTTTTAGCAAATATATACTTTTTTTTTTCCTTGTATCTGCTTGCAAATAGCGTTGTGATAGATGTCCTTTTGTTTCTTGTTTTTGGCACATGTTTTATAGCTTAGCATCTTTAGAGGTCGATCTTGGAACTGTTCAGGAGGGGGTTTGTAATGTCTGAGCAGAGGTTTTATGTATTCATGAGACTCTCAAGAAGGACTGTGAGCTATAAGCTCTACGGCTCCTGGATTTGAGAAGGAATCTGAAATACTAAGATGCATCAGTGGCTCTACATGCCTTACGTCTTCAAATTGGTATTGTGGTAGGCTGACATGACTCAGTAATATGTTTTTGCAGAATTGTTACTGTAATGTTTTCCTACTACTTTTTGTGATATTTCTCAGCTTTTTATAACGGTGCTTCCTGAATCTCTTCTGTCTTAGTCATTGGGATTCATGCTCCTTCTCAAAGATTGATCATATGCACAAGCTTCATCTGTTAAGACAACTAGAGTGAAGGTGATAAAAGTTTAGGTATTCAAAGGATATGATAGTTCTTTCTAATCTCTGTTTTAATAGCTAAAGCTAGTCTTCTTAGTCTATAGTTAAGACTGTTGCCCTCAGGTTTTTAAAGGTGATCTCAGTAGAAAATAATGCTTTACTACTATTATAAATACATAACCAGAGTCTTTTTCCGTTTCTTTTAATTTTCTTATCCTTTTTACTACAGTTAACTGCTACATTGCAACATTACCGCTCACATTTTAAGCTCACAGAAGTTGGGAAATTCAAATGTATGGTTCCCTCAACAGCCATAAGTCTGCTATATTACACATTACACCAGTAGTAAAAATCTTCCCTCTAAGATAGCAACTTTTTATATGTTTCTGCTTTTTCACTCCTTAACTTTCTCAAATACTGGTTTTCAGTTGTGTCTTAAAGTGAATTTTTACTAAGGAGTTATGGATGAACTCCGTTTACCTCATGAACTGGGGTAGAAGTGGAAATATCTTCTAAAATCTTAGTGAGGCTGTTAAAACCTGAAAATTTCCACGTAGTAGACTCTTATCTATGACTAGATAACACTACACAATTAAACTAAGAGATTAACTTTGCCTTTTCATAATGGTATCTTCTCCCGAACTAGGTTTTTAGTTATTGCCTGTGGCACTGCAGTTTCAATAAAGCTCTTACAGCTTCATCTCTTTTCTTCTTAGGATGTGTATGTAAATAGTTTTGATGGCTGAATGTCTGCAGAACTGTCTTAATATATTGTCCTCTTTCTTTTGTGTTAGTTTTTCTTCTTTTCTGAAGCCGAACCGCTTTTGTTTTTAGTGAAGTTCAGAAATGTTCATGTTAAAAGAATTAATCCCATGGTCAGTTCTTTTTGTTTGTTTGTTTGAATTCATTTGTATAGGGCTACAGTGAAATAAATAAGAAGAGCCTAAA